AAGGACCGGCTGACCATCCGAGTGCTCCAAGACGATAGTTCAAGGACACATAGATGACATCACCATTCGATGCACTCCCCGAGGCAGCAATCAACCCAGCAGGATTGTTGTTCTTGTTGCCATTGGTGTAGCCTCCGCCGTATAACCAAACGAGTACCGGAGCACCATATCCTTGACCAGCAGTACTAAAAACATCTTCTGGGACAAAGACGTCCAAGAAAAGACAGTCCTCGGATTCGCGTGGGTCTCGTGCCGGGATTGCGCTAGAAGCATTTGCACCAGGTGCTATATAGGGTTGTGTATTGTTGGCAGATGCTCCTAGCAGAACACTAACTAGGTACTGTGAAGCTGCCTGATTCCATGCAGGGCTAGCTTGGGGGCAAATTCTACGATTGTCAGAATTACTTCAGACTAAGATACACTACTGTGAGTCGTAACATACCGCGAGGTCTCCCCGGTGTTGACGGATGCTCGGTTCTTTGCAGGCGCCTGAGGAGCCGCAAATCGTAGGTTGCCGACGGGGGGTGCTGCATACCGAATGTTGGAGAAATTGTAGAAGTTACCTGTGCTCTATCCAATGTTAGGAGTCGATATAGGAGTGGTAGATGGATTACATACATTGAACCCAGTAGCCCTGTAAATTTCGTAGCCCAAATCAATTTCTGGTAGGGTTTGGGTGTACGCTTGTACAGCTCCGAGAAGAGCTGCTACTCCAAGAAACTTCATCATCTTGTCGGCAGAGGGTGAAAGAGTTCACAGCCAAGAGTATGAATGTTCGGCAGGATCTTTCACGCTCTTAATCTGGTGAAAGGGCCAGTGGTAGCTAACAACGATAGCTAACGATAGGAAATCCTTTGGTCAGACACGACCTCTCAGTTACCAGGTACGGCCATGCTTTAATAATATTCTTTTCCGTGAGCCACGCAAAAGGGCCGCACCCAACACTAGCGTAGTTGCTCATCATCAAGATAATTGCACTACTTGGCCCACTTTGGCGTCAGATCCGTAGCTGAACCCCAGAGAGTTCCCGTCAGTGTGTGCGTCATGCAGTATAAGCCTCGGTAGCCGATCGTAAACTATTCGTCCGTGAGATGTTGCGCTGGCATAAAGGGCTGAAATGCTTATTACGTGGCTGGGTCGACACAACCAACGGCGGCCATGTCTCAAGGCGGTAAAGGTGATGAGGCTTTGAGGCGTAGGCTGACTATTGACACGTAAAATGCGGCTTTATCTCCGGTAAAGAGATGGGACGGGAAGGTCATCTCGGCTACACTCCTCGTGAGCGCGTATTGGTTTGTGTGGAGAGTCACAGGGGGTTCCCCACGAATGAGGTCTGATTGATACCGAGGCTCGTGTGTAGGAACGCCAAATACCTAGGAGGTTGTGGACAACAACCTCCATTCAGATATAAGCATTGGATTGAAAATATTTCCAAGTACTCCGTGCAAAACAAAAAGAAAACAAGGCATGGTCGACACCTGTAATCCACAACTCACACGCAACTCGGTGTTGCTCCTAAGCTGATCCCGGTATGCGACATGGTTAGGCTGACTCGTCAATGTAAAAGATGATTACCAGCAATGCAACGGCTGGAACAACGGCGACAACGATCTATTACAAGCGAAGCGTTAATTTAATGACGGTGCGATACACGTGGTGGACATTGTCGAGACTTGAACTATTCATGCTAGCACTGAAGTCCTGACTCCTTCCTTCGGAGGTCTTCTTCGACACCGTTAACTCGCCGACGAATATGCCGAGGTGCTCGAAAACTAATTGCAGTAGCTATCCTGTCCTTGGGGGTTTCCTGGCTGCAACATATACAGTGAAGATAGTAGACTCAAGGTATCACAAAATTGGCAGTGGTGTCGTCATCCGGGACGCCTCGTGGAATTTGTTTTCTGTTCCATGTCAATCTTTCACCACGTGTGGCACCAGCTCTACCCAGTAGCCCTAAGCAAACATTAGCAACGAATTGTTCTCACCAAAAATATTTTACTCACATCAGGATCCTTCACAAACGCTAATTGCTCAAATACATGCTTATAGCCGATATGCACCGATTCATGATTCCCTTGAACAATATCATTCGGAAGGCCCATTTGCCCCACACTAGCCTCATTCAATGGCTTGATGATCTCATACCCAAAGCTTTTGATACGCTCCAAAGTTTCAGATACATCTGGTACCGTGAATCCGACATGGCCAAAACCGACGCCCCGCCCTGAGTAGTCATTGCCTGATGTGTATGGAGTTTTGGAATCCGGAGGTATATAATATAGTTCCAACAGACCTTTCGAGGTACCAAGGGTTTGCATGCCTGTCGATGTCTATGTTACGCTTGTGGCTATGTAATATAAAGAACTAACGTACCAACGTCCCGTGGTCCAAGGTAGTATATTGTCCACGGTCCTGCGTTGAAGATGAAAACTACATGCATGCCCATACAGTCACAATAAAATTTCAAGCTTCGTTGCGGGTCTCTAATTCTTAGCATGAGATGATTGAGGCGGTATTCTGCTGTTGCTGGTGAAGTCGGGCGTGGGGGTGGAATAATGTGTTGACCGGCGGCATACGGACCCGGCGGTACGTTAGGATTAGACGACATGGTATGAAAACTTTGGGAGTTTCAATATGTACTCTCTTTCCTACCTGAACTTAGGAACAGATTTGATATAATGGAACCAAGACTACTTAGATGACCTTTTGTAGAAGAGTGAATGTGGGGCATGCGGGGCAAACAAGTAGTTGTAGCTGAAAGTGGGCTTAATAGGAAGGGCCCTTGGTGAGATACCTTGAATTCTACAAAGCCTAGAAAGAGGTTTCCAAGAATTTGATACTACTGCTTGAAGATATGCCGTCGTAAAGAGGGTTGCTGGACAACAAATGAGATTGCAATATCGCACAAAGCGTTGCAGAATGCATGCTAGATGTGCTATGCTGATCCTGGCCAGCTTATAAGAAGTATAATAATGCTATATCGATTTTAAGCTAAAGGGGGTGACATTGATTTTGAAGTTCAACTTTATCAAACTATTCACTCAATCAATTGCCTTTGCCACAAGGTAAATAGTTACTTGACACAAGTGTGTGCGCAAAAAAGTTATCATTATTTCACACCAATTTAACGATTTTTAAAATGAAGATGTTTTTATTGAATAAGTCAGTGTTAATTAAAGTGTGATTGACGCTAGGTCGTATATCAGAATCTAAAATCAAGACGCACGTCATTGCGAGCCCGCGCTAGTGGACCCTGCATAGAACAAGCTTCGATTGAGGTTTGCCCAGCATCGCACATCTGCTCTAACATCACCAACCGTCGCTATGGAATTCCAAAGAGGAGAACGTGTGAATTTAAACTTCGATACTGGCGCTGTGGAAAAGCTGGAAACTGAAGATGATCAACAGACTGCGCTTCCCACGTTTCCTACGTTCGTGGGCGACATACTCGAGCGCGAATCATCCCTAGCCAGCCCACCAGCTGCTCCCTCTCTGAAGGCAAATGTAAATGGCTTTCCGGCACATAAGAAACGGACTCCTAGGGTATCAGCCTTTAAACAGCAGCGAGCGTTGAAAGAACAACAAGCCGCAGAGGTTTCAAAAGCCAGTTTGCAGAATGCAAAGCTGCGCAGTGCAAGATTTGACCTAGACGAGAAAAGGTCTATAGATGCAGAAAATCACCAGACTCTAGCGGCTATGTCAGCTGAGGAAATTGAACAAGAGCGCCAGGAGCTCATGCAGAGCCTGAGCCCAGCCCTGATACAAAAACTGATGGCCCGATCAAACATTGATGAAGGGAGCAACGAGCGCGACCTCTATCCTGTAGAGCCTGCTGCAACTCCTGGGACTAACGAGAAGGAAGCAGAGTCCAAACCTAAACCTTCCGGTGCCAAGAAGGTCGCATTTGCATCTCCAGAGCCACCATCTCAGCCGGAAACCTCTAATTCTATGTCCAGTGCATTCACTTCAGATCAGCCATCTGCCTCGGAAGCTGAGTTGGAGGCCACCCAGAACTCAATACACTTCCCTACGCCACGGCAGCCTCCCGATCTGGACCCAAACGACCCTGAGTTTCTCGAGAACCTTCATGAAAAGTACTTCCCCAACCTGCCCTACGACCCCAGCGCTCTATCTTGGATGAAGCCTATCGATCCCACAGATACATCCTCGCCCTATCATCCGTCACAGACAGCACTCAACGCCACTGAATTACGGTTCGACTTCAAAGGCGCTCTGCTCGCACCAAGCGTTGCGAGAAGCATACCCAGCGATCGGGGGCTGCACCATCATTCAGATGCGCCTGAAGCCGCAGGATACACAATACCAGAGCTGGCGGTGTTGAGTCGAAGTGCGGTACCCGCGCAGCGGTGCATGGCGTATCAGACGCTGGGTCGCATACTCTATCGTTTGGGGCAGGGCGAGTTTGGAGTAGAACAGGCGAGGCAAGATACAAACGGACCTGTTCAAGTGGCCAAAGACCCTGGCGCAGAAGATGGCGAGGATGGCGAGGAAGACGTGGGGAGCGCCATGGCGGGGGGGCTCTGGGCTTGCGTTGAGGAGGGTCGTATCATTGAGACATTGACAGAGGAGGCGAATAAAACAAGAGGACACCTGACCGCACGCACGTTTGCAGAGGAAGCGCTGTGGAATTGGCGGCGGGGTGGAGGCCGGAAGAGACAAGCTGTTTGAGATACCCAGTAAATCAACTTGACAATTGGTCGTGATTTGATTTGATTTTACTTTTCGTGTGTGATCGGGAATGATCCCTCATATTTTAGTATCAGTGACCCTGGAGGCGTTGTAGATGTATGATAGACAGCTCTGCATTACATATCATTCGAGGCCACAAATTCGCCGCTGCCTGCGATACAAAAATCCAACAGTTGTTAGGCCGCAATTGCCACGACTCCAAAACACTTTGGAACTGTATGCAAGTGCCCCACCTTCGCCGGTGGAGTGAGTAAAAGATGCAAAAAAGTGCAAAAAGGCAGATATGGAATCTCTCCGACGGGGAATCGAACCCCGGTCTCCCGCGCTTGTTGGGACTTGTGGTCTTTGACAAGCGGAAATCATGACCACTAGACCATCGAAGATATGCGCTTATATAAGCGGATAGTCGTTGTTTGATGAAAGTAAGAGGAATTCCTTAGTATATAAAGGAGAAGAGATAGCATGGGGAGTTGGCATTTTCGGGATGCTGGGGCGCTAGTTCGTGCATCGCACTAGCACATATGATTTGCCGAATCGCTTCTATTGTTCTAGCTCTATTGGTACTGGGTCAATGCGGAAGATCCCCTCGCAAACCTACGAGAAATCACTTATAGCTGTTCATGATGGAGCTTTAGATTTTAGGGCATCTCGTTTTCGCATGGATTCAGCCCAACGGCTACTGAGACTAAAGTGAGGACGGGCAGACTCTGAAGGTTTGATCGCCTCTGATTCGCTGAAATTGCCAGAATAACTCTGGGTATTGCAATTCTCTGCGATTAAAACAGGAGTATAATCATCCACATAATAAATTGTTATCTACGACTGCAAGATCTAGCAATAGGGATTATATTGTATCTTGAACGGTTCATACTACCTCTAAGTCATGGTGAAATAGTCCCTCACAGCGCTACTTCTTGCTACTGGCGACTCAAGGGTCGATCATACAGACTGAACAATCAAACTATATTTATTATTTATGTACTCCGCTATTGTTGTTCTACTGAACCCCGACTACTTTCAAAATATCGTCCAGGTCACCGTCAGCACCAGTCAATACCCTTTCCCTCCAAACTTCATCCTTGACCCGCTGGGACCCAACAAGAACACCAAAGTTGGGACTTGGCTCAGCCTTAAGCCATTTGAAATCATCCACTTGATCCCACTGGTTCACTACTTGTGATATTTCAGAGGTTTCGAATGCGGGTGGCAAGGGCGCGAACCGTACGCTTTCGCAATCCTCGATAATCGGTCGGCTCGCAGCGTGCAGGTAGATATTCACCTTTTTAGATCCGTGCATGCGGAACTGGCGACAAGATATTACAAGGGTGCTGTTCTGTACATCGGTGATGTGAATCGCGCCTGCGACTTGACCGCATACGATGACTGAGTTACTGATGTTCTTTAGGTACAGTGCAGAAAACGGCGATATAGCAGTCGCGGCTGAAAGATCGACGACGCAATGCTGTAATTTTGACACCGTTCCTGAACTTGTTGCGTGAGAGGCTATATCTGGCAGGATAAGATGTAGCCTGCTGTGGTTTGAAATGACAATCTTTGCCGCATTCGGAAAGAGCGGTCTTTGTATACCAGGACCATTTTCGATGCCATCTTCTTCGATATCCTCTGGAGCTAGTTGTGGCCTCTTTCCCTCTAGTTGTGAGTTATCTAATGATGTCGGCGCAAATGAGGGATTGGTCGATATTGCAGCCGCATTCTTGCGCGTCTTAAATGAGAACTTCTTTGGAGGATTGAAGGAATTGCGAATGGTTTGGAGTTTTTCGGCAAGACTCCTAATAGTCTAATTATGTCAATAAAGAGGCCTCTATAAGGCCGATTTATAACAATACCTGGCTATAGGACCTCTGATCATACGCTGGAATGTAACCTGTAGCATCCTTGACCTCGTGGGATAATCGGTCTATTCCTGCAAGACAATGATCTATGGCGTCATTGCGTTCACTTCCAGCAGACATAGCGTTCAGCTGCTCCATCTGCTTCTGAAGCGCTAGTTCGATCAGCTGCGGTATTATACATAACTCAAGACGCCTACCAGTGACTTCATCTTGGAAGGTGCGAAAGAAGTTTTCCTTCAAACCTACTTCACTATGTGCCTGTGGGACTGCCATGACATGCGCTTGACAGAATTCCAAGAGCCTAACAGATATAGGCGTCGTGTTTGTTTTGGTAAAAATGTTGCGAGTCAAAGCAGGATCACGACCAGCTAAGCAACTACTGGTGGGGGTAGTTGGCAATACGCTAACGATAGGAGATTCATCATTGCGCAACAGTAATTTTCAAAAGTTACGGTGATTAATTCATGAACACTTTATGGATCGAAGTTGAAGAGTGCGGAGCTACCCCGCCATTTCCACATTGGGTCTCCTGCGGAATGCACTTACTCTCATGCGAAATGGGCCCTTGATTAATGTATAGAATCAACTCAAGTCCATTTCTATTATGGCATATATACTAGTCAAGTGGTGGTTCCATCCGTTGAGTTAGATGACAATATTCACTTCAAGTTGAGTCTTGGATAGTGAATTTGCTAGTGATTCAAGGGGGTTATATACACAAATTCAATTAGCCATGATCCCCTGTCAATGACCAACTGTTCTTGAAACATAGGGAAAGACGTGTAGCATCTAATTCACCTCTTGCGCAGCCTTCACATCGATGCCATACTTCTCCAGTAATCTCTGTCGTCTCCTTTCTTCCCATCCTGGCGCATAGATTCCTAACAGGGTTAATAGATGTGGGCAGAGTTGGACAACTATATGCTCACCTCGACCCTCGCCCAATTGCTCGATGGTCTCCGAAAGCGGCCGCCTGCGGAGCTTCTTTGCCTTCTCTCTCTTCTCTACTTCGTCCTCATCTAATACCTCGCCTGACTGGCCTGTGAATCCATTGGTGTACCGCCAAGTAGTCATGACAGTAGAGAATGCGACTCCGGCACCAAGCATAAAGGGCAGACTGCGTCCTATTCGCTGTAAGATGGAAGCCAGTGTAATCATGATCGATGTAACGTACGAGCGACACCAACACCAGCGCCAGCTACGAAGCCAGCTGCTGCTTCGCTGTAGCAGTCGTCCTTTTGTCGCAAGTTGCTGGTCGCGTCGAGGGTGAACTGATATGCGGCTCCCACACCGGCTACACTCCAATTAGCCATGTCCACATCCGGATCATGTTGAAAGGAAGGAAGCAACATGTCACACACCATAAAGAGCAATTATGCCTCCCGAACGAGTGATGATGCCCATGGCTCCAACATTTTGCTTGCGTAGAGTGTTCTGCACGCCGGCGAAGATGGCGCCGACCGCAGCTGTCTGGATGGTGGTGGTCCCCGTGTTGGCCAGAGTATCTCGAGCGTGGAAGGTGGGCTGTTGGTCGGCCATGGCGGGCGGAATGGGCGTTGATGTCTTCCTGAGAGCTTCCCAACGTTCAATCATGAGGCTTGGCTTGGCTCCCATGTTCAACTGGGGCAGCTTGGCGAGTAGCATGCGCTAATCCCGAAACGTACGACCTGCATCATCGGCCGCAACTACGAATAGTGTGTGGTGGAGTGGTGGCATGGTAGACCTACAAGCTTCCCTATTAACAATCATGCTTGTGCCGCATATGCAAGTTGGCTGAAATAAACTCTTTTACCTGCTATATCAATCTTGAATGAGAGTACTACCCCAAGACAGGCAGACCCGTGAGCGCGCGCGTGGCGTTTCGTAGCCGTCGAGGGCAAGTGCCAGGACTACTTTGGTTGCCGCCTGTGTTCTCTGCTGCCTCTACACTTCTAGTTACTCTGTCCACTTGACATAGACCTGCCGCCTTTCTGCTGCTTCAGACTCGTCACCTACATCCTTATTCACGCACAAACACATTAGCAACCTGCTAACTATGGCGCCCGGTATATTATCTATAAGCGTGGATGGCTGGCATTTGCTCTACTAACTATGCTTTGGTATAGGCAAGACAGCGCCGCGGCTGCTCCAAGACTTCCTCACATACGACCCCCGCCATGAGGAGCGAGCTGGCCGTAACCTCCTGACGAGTGCCCCTCCACAATATGACCCTGCCAAACCACAAACCGCCGCCGTGCCGTTTCGAAACTGCCGGCACGCTCTTCTGAACAAGAGCGAACAGTCACAGCTACCCAGCCCAGGCGAAGATCCTGACCGAACGACCGTCTACAAGATTGCCTCATACTGCACCCAGTGTCGCTGGCACTTCGACGTCATTGTCGACTTCCGCCACGATGGCGCAAAATCTCGCATTTGCAGGAAAGGCGACGCTGAGTTCTTCTTGCACCATTTCTTGTTCAACGGCGAGAACAACCCGAGTAACAACGGTCATCTTGGGTCCCATCAGGCGCCGCGGACATACAATTTCCGGTGCTCAGCGCCGCAGTGTCCAGTGCAAGTGCAAATACACATGAAACCTCCGAATCTCTCCGATCACGATGTCGAAACTTTGACCAACAAAGCGCAGTTGCGGAGAAGATGGGAGGCTGCAAAACAAATGGCCGGCGATCGAGCTGATACAATCATGGCCCGGAGAGTAGACGGACTGGACTTTCTAAACACTTATTTGCAGGACGGCCTCAACCCAGTGCAGGGCAAAGCACGTATCCCTTTGCTTAATAAGAAATTCCTCAAGACCTTTGGCAAGGACTGTGACTCGATCCTAATCCATCTTGGCTTTTATACTGAAACGGAAAAGGAGGACGGTGAGTTGAATCAGATGTGGTACCTACCTCGACCCGAAGAAAGGAAAGATGTATTTGAATACACGTTGAGAAACACTGTCGAAGATACCCGTTATGAGCTGAATACATTGATCCTCAATATACCAGAGCCCGAGCGTGCTGGCGCACGGCACATCCCACAATATCCTCCGCCATCGCGAACTTACATTGAAAGGGCATTGGCCTGCAATGATTATGATAAAGCCAAAGGTCGCATGGAAACGAGGAGTGTCAACCACGAGGAGGATCACCCTTACTATGCAAGTCTGGGAGCAGTTGGCGATTTCTCCGATGCTTTAATTTTATTTGCGTTTGCACAGCAAACGGCCGTGGACGTGGAAAGCCGTTCTTACTACTACGAATGTCTTCAAGACCTTGCGGTAGGCCGAAAAAGTGAAGAGCTAGAGATGCAGGTAGCTGTGCTCGGTTCACAGGGATTCACTACCCGACGTGAAGTAGACGCGGCCTATCAGTACTTCGGTATCGAGCCACTCCACGCAGCTCACCTCAATGACGATCATATCATTGGCACCTTTAAATCTCGACTTTCCGACATGAGCCCTTCCTTGGCCGAAGAAACACGCAGGCAGCTGCGCATCATCGGTGCTGCGCGCGGTAGCCAGGCTATAAACGCGGAAGCCGCTGGCG